CCACACGCGCGCACACACACACACACACACACACACACACACACACACACACACACACACACACAACACACCACACACACACACACACACACACACACACACACAAAAAAAAAAAAAAAAAAAAAAAACGCGCACACACACATATATCATATATACATACCAGTACAACACAACATACAGAGAGAGGAAGACAAAGAACAGACACACAGAGAAAGAGGAGACAGGAAAAAGAGACACAACCAACGAGAAAGAAAAAGAGAGAGAGGGAAGAAGTGAGACCGAACGACCACGACACTGGAAAAAGGAGAAAATCTCAAGAGAGAGAGACAAAGACCAGCACACAGAGAAAAAAGAGGAAAAGGAAAAGCAGAAGCGAAAAGACGCAACGAAACCCCCAGAGACCGTTCTTAAAGGACAAATAAAACCATCAAGCTGGAGTCGACGCGGGTCAGCCGCTCTTCTTCGTCCGAACGATCTACGTGGCAGCATCCTCGTGGCGTTTATCTCTTTCTGTCGCTGTATCGCACGCGGGGTCTTCTCGGCTCTCAATCCTTTTTTCTCCTTTCCTTATCGTCTTTCTTTCCTTTCTTTCATCGTTCTTCCTTTTTTTTTTTCAATTTTTTATATTCTTTCTTCGACTTTCCCGTGCTGGTGACCTCCTTTCTTTACAATTCCCTCGCCTTTCTTCTCCCTTTTTTCTATTTTCTTTCTTCCCCTCTCCTCTCTCTCCCTTTTTACCGCGTGACTTATCTTTTCCCTCCTCTCTCTCTCTCCCTCTCCCGATTCCTTCCTTTAACATCGCTCATCCTAAATGACTGCTGGCTGCTGCCTGAATGACTGCCTGCCTGAATGCATGCCTGCCTGCCTACTGCCTGCCTACCTGCATACCTGCCTGCCTGCCTGCCTGCCTCGCCTACATGCCTTCCCTATCTCCCCCCTGGCCGCCTCCCCTCCATCCCCTCTCTTTCCTTCCTTCCCTTTCCTCCCCTTCCCCTTCCTTCGCCGCCTTCACGCCCCCGAAACCTACGGCGAGCCCAACCTGAGCCAAGAAATGGCTTACTTGCAACGAACTTTCCCTTAACGACACACAAATGACCGAGGGAATTTCCCTCGTTCTCAACTCTCTCTCGTCTCTTCGGTCCTTCTTCTTCTTTCACTTTCTCTCTTCTCTTCTCTCTTTTTTTCTTTCCACTTTTCTCTCTTCTCTTCGGTCTGACTCTTCTTCTTTCACTTTCTCTTCTTTCTCCCTTCTCTCTGTCTCGGTCTCTACTCTTTCCCCCCTTATTCCTTCCGTCCGTCCGCTTCCATTCCTTCCTTACTTCATCCATCATCCTCTTCCTCCCTCTCTCATCCTTCTTCCATCCTCTTCTTCCCTTCTCCCCCTCCTTCCATCCTCTTCCTCCCTATCTCTCTCCTCCTTCCACCTCTCCCTCCTCTCTCTCTCTCCTCCTTCACCCTCTTCCTCCCTCTCTCCCTCTTTTCTCCCTCCTCCTTCCTCTCTTCTCCTCTCTCTCTCCTCCTTCCATCCTTTCCATCCATCCCTCTTCCTCCCTCTCCTCTCCTCCCTCTCTCCCTCTCATCCTCTTCCTCCTCTCTCTCCCTCCTTCCCTCCTCCCTCTCCTCCCTCCTCTCTCTCCTCCCTCTCCTCCTTCATCCTCTTCCTCGCCCTCTCCTCTCCTCTCCTCCTCCTCTCCCCTCCTTTCTCTCTCCCTCCTTCCATCCTCTTTCTTCCCTCTCTCTCTCCCATCTTCCATCTTCTTCCTCCCTCTCTCTCTCCCCTTCCATCCTCTTCCTCCTCTCTCTCTCATCTCTCCCTCCTTCCATCCTCTTCTCCCTTTCTCTCTCCCCTCCTTCCATCCTCTTCTCCTCTCTCTCTCTCTCTCCTCCTTCATCCTCTTCCTCCCTCTCTCTCTGCTTCTCTCCCTCCCTTCCATCCCTCTTCCTCCTCTCCTCTCCTCCTTCCATCCTCTTCCTCCCTCTCTCTCTCCTCCTTCATCCTCTCCTCCCTCTCTCCTCTCCCTCCTTCCATCCTCCTGTCCATCCTCTCTCCCTCCATCCTCACTCATCCTCTTCCTCCCTCTCTCTCTCCCTCCTTCCATCCTCTTCCTCCTCTCTCTCTCCCTCCTTCCATCGCTCTCCTCCCTCTCTCTCTCCCTCGCTTCCATCCTTCCTCCCTCTCTCTCTCCCTCCTCCATCCTCTTCCTCCCTCTCTCTCTCCCTCCTTCCATCCCTCTTCCTCCCTCTCATCTCCCTCCTTCCATCCTCTTCTCTCCTCTCTCTTCCTTCCTCTCCTTCCCATCCTCTTCCATCCCTCTCTCTCTCCTCCTTCCATCCTCTTCCTCCCTCTCTCTCTCCCCTTTCTTCCCTCCTCTCCTCCTCTCTCTCCCCTCCTTCCTCCCTCCTCTCCCTCCATTCCTCATCCTCTCTCTCTCTCTCCCTCCTTCCATCCTCTTCCTCTTCCCTCTCTCTCTCCTCCTTCCATCCTCTTCACTCCCTCTTC